TGCTGAACCACCAACCGTAGTCTAGGCAGTAAGGGTTTAGAGTCAACTTCTACCTGGGGTCTACCTGAAAACATTTCTTTGAATTTTCTTATGGTAGTAATGAAAAGGTTTGTAGGCAGCAAATTCATTTTAAGTTCAACCTGATAAAATCACTATTCATTACAAATGAAGAAAGTGTTTTCTTAGCAAAACCATAATGTTCACCTTTAAATGACATCGGGGCAAGTGGGAAAAGTGCACAACAGACATTCCCAGGAATGCAGCTCCCAGTGAGGGAAGAGAGGTTGAACAAAGGGATGTGAGGTGTGCCAAAGCTATCATGGCTGAAAGTCAGCTCTATTATTTTTTACATGTGTCATTTTGGATTTGACTTGTATAGAGTCATGTCTTTCTGCTGATGTTTCCACATTCTGAAAGAAGATGATTTGAAATCTGTGCCCTAATTTTATGGGAAGAAAGCGTAAAGGGCTAACTTCTGACTGTCCTAAGATTGTCCTTGACAATGAACAAATCAATCTGTAGAGCATACCGAACTAGAACATTAGGAGTTTAAAACCAACTGAATGACTCCTCAAAACTGAAAGTCTGGGATAGCTTAAATTCAGTGGAATGAGGCAAAGACAACTCGGGAGTAAACAACAGTGGAGGGAAGCTGACTTTTAGACTTATGTTCACCTGAGTTTCAATTCTTTTTTCACTGCTTACCAGCTGTGTAACTTTAGGCAAGTTATTAAACTTCTATTGCTCTTGTTTTTTTATTATCTGTGAAATGGATATAATAATGCCTACAACATTGGGTTAAGTCTTATTTATAAATATACATATATATGTGTGCCATATTAATTACATATATGTGTGTATGTGTGTGTGTGTGTATATAAACACACACACAAACATATATAGTGTTCTCTCTTATATGTGATTTATAACAACAGCTCAGGCTGGGTGAACTAATTGTTTCCCTTGCTGACTATCCAGGGGGGAAATATAATACTAGGAAATTAATATCCATTTTGGTGAATCAGGGAAACCTCCAAAACTATGTCTTCATGCCACCATTAATTCCCTTGTAAAACATCATGGGAACTCAGAAATGCCTGCCCAGGGACACAGCAGGAGGGGCTAAACATCAATATATTCCTGTTTGCTGCTGACTCGTGCATCTGGGGAGGAAGTGGAAAATCCATTTGCGATGTGCCAAAACATGGCTTAAATTGGCTCACACATCCCAAATAGCCAGAGTGTTTTTATCAATGGCTTATCCAAAACAATCAACAGCAGTTTGTTCAACTCTTACTAGGGGTTTCTTTTGAGAGTAGAGAGTTATAAATAAAGTTGCAAATGTTTTCAGATCCAAAGATCTGTTTCAGAACAATCCATCAGAAGAAACCTACATTATTTTTCACCCTGTTTTCATTTGGTAAATAGCTTTACATTAAGAACGTCAAACTTCCCAATCGTGATTTATACAGTCAATTGTGTGTGTGTATATAAATCTAAATAACACATTTATATCTAAATAACACAAGTGAACATGTTAAAAACATAAATTAGAAAAACTAAAGTCAGATAAATTCATAATTCCTTTTCACAATTTTTCTTTTTTTTTTAAAGTTATTCTTTCTCCATAAGCTAAAGAGACAGATAGAGACATCACCCCCCAATAGGGTTTTCACATGAAGATCCAGTCCCAGCTTCAGCCAGCCCTGGATCATTGGGCACACGTGCACAGGGCATGTTTAGGGACTTCTCTAGACATGAACCCAGAACTGTCCCTGTGGGGGAGGCTCACAGAGCATTGCGCTGCGATCCAGCCCCTCCCCACACCAATCATTCTTGATTCCCTGTTTGTGCCAACAACTGGGGGTACAATGATGTTAACGACATTTCCTGAATACTTATTATGCACCTTATATCCCCCTAGCAACTTTATATTTATTACTGTTTAATTTAGTGTTATTTTATTTTATTTATTATTATTATTTTTAAATTTAACCAGAAAGAGAAGGAGCAAGAGAGACAGAGGGAAAGTGAGAAAGCAAGCCTCCAGGACTTGAACATGGTTGGCCATGTGGGAGTCCAGTGCCTTAACCACCACACCACCTGCCGGCCCCTGTTTAATTTAGTTTTTACCAAATCCATGATATTAATGATATTAAGATCTCACTAATAGGTGAGGCTTACAGCTATTGTAACTTAAGTACATGGCTCTAACCATTACCCTGCTCTTTCTTTCAAAACAAATGTGATCCTGTCTTCCTGGAATGCTCACCCAGGGTATGCGTTAACCATGAGTGGGGATATAATGAGGGAATGCAGGATATTTGAACAATAGCTATGTAAG